GCTCCTAAATGCTCTTACAAAAGAAGACTTCCAGCATTGCTTTGACCAATGGAAAAAACGAATGGAACGGTGTGTGGCGAGGGGAGGGGAGTACATTGAAGGGGAGCATTCAATTGTAGAATAATTTTTAAAATAAAACTCTTTTTCATAAGCAATCTCGTTATTTAATAGCCAGACCTCGTACTACATGATAGTACACACGGGTATGCAACTTCCGCTTTTGCCTCAATTTAACGGATCAATCACCGATCTTTATATCCTATTGTCCGTACTCTTATTATAGATATTCTAGACCAGTGAGTGCTTTTCTAATGATGGCTCCTGCACACTGAACGTGGCAACGCTTGCCACGCGGCGGAAGTTGTCACACTAACCAATAATTCTATGTTCTTAAGTCGGCCTCACTATGCAAAACTTCTAAAAATGTATTATTACTTCTGCCGCGTGGCAAAAGTTTAAAAAGAATTAAGTTCAACTTTTGTCGCGCAGTGGAAATTATATATCTATTACTTTCGAGTAAACGAGACGTTAATTGGTTATCATGCAAACTTCCGTCGTGTCGCGCAACCAAGTGTTGTCACGTTCTAACATATATGCAGGAGTCATGAATGAGAACTTTACTCCCATTCCTCAAATTTTTGATAATAGTCAGAAATTAGTCTAGTAGACGTATTTATGCATTTAGAACTCAATAATACTTGATTTTTTTTTTAATTATGATTTCATCAAAAAATCCTGAATAAATTTTTGGCGATATAAAAAGAGCCAATGGCCCAGAGGTAATTGAAGAACGCTAACATTATCAACAATTGATATAAATTTGCTATTAGTAACATAAATAAATATTTGGGTCACATATTATTAAATTTATGATTTTTTATTACATTAATGTTCTATAAATAAAGATGCATACTTGTAAAGCTATAATATCTTATATACTCGTATATTGCCGAAAAATTACAATTTTTTCTCTGCAGTTATTATCTCTGTTAATAATCAAACTTTAACGATAATACTGAAATCACAATTTTAAAGAAAATTCGAGTATTATTAAATTCTAAATGCATAAATACGTCTACTAAACTAATAAATCATAAAATTAGTACAATATCAGTTTTTAACTCTTCAATAATAATTATTTCAATATTCACAAGGATGCGAACTTCTGTAAGGATGTCGGTCTTTAATAATATCTCGTCGGTGTCAAAACTGAAATTTGAAAAAACAGAAATTTAAGAGAATTAAAAAGAAATAGGGAAAACTAGAGAGATTTTCATATACCAACAGGGAAATTTTTTTGCTGATATCTGGCAACACTGTTCGAAATGCATCCTATATTTGTTATATGCGCAGAACCGTACGAAATTCGTCTCGAGTACGAGCACACCTGGGTTTCTTTCATCATGTGGAAATTGATCTGTCGGTTTGTCGTCTACAATTCGTTAACCATTGTTTCTTCTCTGCTCAAGTCTCTTTGATTTTGCTGACCTCGATTGAGAGTGATTGTCTTCGTTAAAACATCTCACATTGATCATATACGCTCGCACAGGAGAGATTGTTCTAAAATTTGTACGTGCTTCAAAGTAAGTAATGCAACGAGCGGGAAACATTATCGGTTATGAGAGAGTTGGCAGATTTGTCGCACACGCTTCGACGGATTTTCTCGAGTTACATTTAATGGCTTCGGCCATCGTGGTTACGCATCGCGCGCGATCTTAACCTCCGAATTAGCCATTCTAGCATTATATATGTAATCCCCTGATCTTGCATGTTACAGATACCCGACAACAACGTTAGATATAGACTATTTTTCTCGTCGTTATTTATCATCTTACTTATCTTACTCTTTAACGATTCCAAAGTTAAAATGTTACAGCGTAATTATGTCAAGCACATGTTTTCTTGCGCTTCAGCTTACATTTTTGCAGATTTACAGTAATAGATTCATATTGAATGTAAGGACTCGAGCGTTTACCTGTTTTTTTGCAAATATTCATTGAATATTAAAATCTCAAAGGTTTGCACGTTTCTCGCAACCTTCAAAATATTTTGAAATTTTGTCTCGTAATTAATTATTGTTCTTGGAAAAGAACAATAATCACTTCAACGTAAAAGATATTGTCATAAATAAATTACATTTATCTATATAATATTTTCAGAAGGGTATTGTATGAGTCAAAAAATAGAAAAACCGATACTATCAGGTCAACGCATAAAGACCAGAAAAAGAGGTAAAAAGCAATTGTTATTTTATTATATAAAATTAAAAAAATAAATTTTCAAAATCTTATACTCACAAAAGCTGTTTGATGAAATTTGTAGATGAAAGAGAAAAATATGACCCAACTGGATTTCGAGATGCAGTTTTACTTGGTTTGGAGAAAGCTGGTAACGACTTAGAAGCAATTTCTAAATTTTTGGATGCGGCTGGTTCTAAGTTGGACTATCGTCGATATGGAGAGGCACTATTTGACATCATGATAGCTGGAGGCCTTTTAGTTCCTGGTGGTTCCATTGCTCAAGATGGTGACAAACCAGTTAAAACTAGTGCATGTGTTTTTGAACAGCCAGAGGACATGGAGTCTATGCGAAATTTTGAACAGGTAAAAAGTAAATATAATAAGTATTTTATTTTATTAAGTTTTTATCACTGTTTTATAAAAAAAATCAAATAATTTGACATTTCGAGACATTGTCTAATTTTTTAGATTTTGTTACGTTCGTTTTTGGGACATTGTATGTCTACCAAAATAAAAATTTTTTTTTGAAAGTTGAGAGATCCCAAAGTTGTTCGAACCCTGGTTGAGGTAATATTTTTCGTAGTATAGTTCATTACAGTTTTTCTGTTAAATTTAATTTAGGGGGAATTACTAGCGTCTCAGATTAAATGTGTTGCAAATCCAAACATTTTGGCATACAATCATATTTGTGATAAATTAATTTTATATACGCAAATGTTCGAATGTTTCGGCGCATGATCATTCTTAATTATTTCGATTCAACAAAGAATATATATATCATATTATTTAAAATTATCTAAAATCTTTGACCGTTCCCTATCGTATTTATGTTCTCATTTATACGGTCATTCGTTAATTTTAAAATAAATATTGTTTGAATAAACAGGTCTTTATCAAGCTCATGCGGCGTTACAAATATCTGGAGAAAATGTTTGAGGAAGAAATGAAGAAAGTATTAGTTTTCATGAAAGGATTTTCACCTAAAGAAAGAATCAAGTTAGCTAGGATGACCGCACTATGGATCTCGAATGGTTCCGTACCACCCACAGTACTCTCAGTCCTGATAAATGAACATCTTGTTAAGGACAATTTGGCATTAGACTTTCTACTGGAAGTCTTTGTTACTTGGAAACAGGAGAAGGGTTTATCTAGTTTAATGACAGCTTTGAAAAAAGGCGGTATTGAGGGAAGGTAAAGTTATAATATATTAATTATTATAGTACAATTTAAAGAAATTCTCTCAATATTCTAATCGATTCCTATACTCGCTATCTATATTGTTTATGATTCCATTCGTATATTTTGTAGGTTAATGGAGTTTGTACCACCGAATAAACGAACAGAGGAACACTTCCGGTCTGTATTCGAAGCAGTAGGCTTAGCGGATATTGTCAAATTACACAAGGCTCAAGCCAGTCAAGAAGCTAAGCGGGATTTGCAACAACTTCTCTTGGATGATTTAGCAGAAAATAGACCGATGAAAGACATTACATTAGATCTCAAAGAAATGGCACAAAGGAGTGGCATTCCTGAACATGAAGTGATTGGATTGGTAACTGTTTTTTTTTCTTTTATGCACTTTATTAAGACACAAAAGTATTTTTATCATTCACTGTTTGTAGATTTGGGTTGTCGTAATGGGCCAAGCTGAATGGAACAAGAAAGAAGAGTTAGTCGCTGAACAAGCACTGAAACATTTAAAAGTTTATACCCCACTGTTCGGTGCTTTTACAACCACTGCCAGATCTGAGCTTGCACTCATCCTCAAAGTCCAGGAGTTCTGTTATGAAAACATGAA